AAGGAAAGTATCAGCACTCTGTGGATCCCAGCAGTGTTCCACTGATCCTCTCCAGATGGTCTTCTTGGTGCTGAAGGTCCCCCCTGAAAGCACAGGATCTGATGGGTTAATATAGACTCAGGCTGGGCAGGAAAACCCAGGCACTTCCCTGGGGCAGGGGGCAGTTTGCCATTGTCTCTTACAGCAGACTCTGGGTTTGTTGCATCGCCTGCAGTGCTGTGGTGCAAGGCTTCAGGGATGACTCTGGGAAGCACTTTTGGGGGGTCTTTGATGGATTATGACACCCCCTCAGCTCCCCCTCCCATGAATGTCCATGGATGCGACCTATGGTGATGGGGGTTTCACAGCCGGGCCAGTTTGTATTAAGGGAGGATGGGTTACACCCTAAACCTCCTTGCCACTCCTCTTTTGGGGGGGTTAGGCAGAGAGTAAACCTGGCTTCTGCTGGCTGTGGTCTCCCCCACCCCAAACTCAGCCAGGAAAGAATCTCAGATGGGTTTGGCTTTCTTGTGAATACATTCCTCTCCCTCAGTCTTGTTTGTTTTTCCCTAGGCTGGAGATGATTGAACAATAGCATCTTATCTAGGTGGTTTAACTTACAGTCCAAATTTCCAGTCAGGTAACCTCAGGGAGGCTTCTTTGGTTATAGCTTCTTTATAGAGTTTTCGTTATAATGGGCAAAGCTTTTTTCTATCAGTGTCTGAGGCATGAATTATTGCAGTCTCTGACACACAGTAAATGGGGAATGTGACTGCAGCAGGAGGCTCTTCTCAGTCTGGAGGGGAACAGCGCAGCTCCTGCTGAGAAAGGCAGGACAGCTCAGTATGCAGTGTTTGTCAGGGCAGCTCTGCCTGGCAGGGTTTATTCAGCTGCTGAGCAGGCTGAGGAGATGTGGCCAGGTGACACACTTCACAGATGGGTGGCTTATGGTGCCTGCAGGAGCCCATCAAGTCCTTACTCAGGGCACTGCTGCATTGTACAGGACAAACCATTTCCCTGTGCCAGAGGCTCTCTGGCAATAGATCAGTTGTGCTTCTTTAGTGTTCTGGTTTTTGTGTTTGTTCTTGTTCACATGCAGCCAGCTCCTTCACATTGTCCAATATAATGGGGGCCAGGCATATCACAGATTGGGGACAACCTGGACTATAAGGTCTGTGGACCATAGTGCAAAGGCTTTGAGTGGTGATGTGGAGTCTAATGCAACCTGAGCTGACTGGTCTTCGCCCAGGGTTCACAAGTACTGCTGGGTGCTGCAGGACCCCAGGTGACTTCTACAAAAGCACACAGACATCTCTGCAGGTTCTGTACTGCGTGTCCCGAGAGACACTGCTGGCTAGGATGCAGTGCTCGATCTCTGCATCCACCTGGCACCATGCCTGAACTGGAACTTGGAATACAAATTTGGACAATGGTTATAAAATTTTAGAATGCTTTGGGTTGAAGTGGACCTTAGAGATCATCTGGTTCTAATTCCCCAGTCCCAGGCGGGGACCTGGTGCTGAGGTACCTGTTTGTGCCTTGGTCAAAGTTAGCTGAGCGTTGGATGTGCTCAATGCAGGCTTGTCTGTGAGTTAAAATTGGTTTTGATGTAATTTTTTCTAGGTGCAGACAGCAGCAAGAAAGCACAGGGTCTAAGCCAGAGGTGTCACAGGGTCTGCAGCATCCCAGGGAACAGTAGGGACCCCTTGTGCCTCTGGGGCAGTGCAGTTGTGTCCAAAGTGAGTGTGAGCTGGTACATAGGGCTATGTATGAGCCAGCTTGGTGTAGAGCCACCCACTGCACCACACTTGTCAACTTGCACCACTCTAGGAGCACCAAAGGAGGTGGCACCAAGCCAACTGGGGTCTGCAAGGCACATTTGCCTCGATTCTGCATCTACCATGTGGAATTGTCTACATTGTTGAAGAGAAAAGCAGACCCTGGATGCAGCATAATGCTGTTGATACAATTCAGTGACATTGTTAATTACAAATCCAGGAGCAATTGCCTTGGGATAACTTTGGGAGTTCAGTGTAATAATATGCAAAGTGTTCCATGCATGAAGCCTTGTTATCCCACTTTTAGAGATCCCCTGCTTTTATATTCCCTCCTGTTGCAAAGGTTGCAGCAAACTTCAGGTGCATTATGTATATTTACAGGCAAGCTATGCAATACTTTCAATGTATTCCTTTATCATACCAGTCCTAATGCCCGTTTTCTCCCTCACACCATTACATTCCAGTTAGACTGAAAGCATCTGTAATCATCCTTATCATTTCAACATTATTTTGCATACAGAGATGAGTATGAAAGAAAATGGCAGTATTCTCAACCTTGAATTGCTGAAGAGCTACTTCAAAAATGAATAGTTGCTGCAAGCTGTAAAAACAAGAGCAAAATGAAAACTCCAGGGCTGTAACCTTTCCCTCACAAATTCTGCTCCTTCAATGACTCACCCTGATCTCTCAATCTCTAGGCAGTTTGACTCTACACCTCAAGGCCTCTAGTGCAAACATCAGTTTGAGCAGTTCTTTCTCTCAGCAGCAGCAGCAGGTTTTGGAGGATGGGGAAGCTTAGAAATGTTTTCTGTGTTCCCTGCTGTCATGAACACTTCTGGAATAATGACTGACCTGGTTTGGCTGCATGGCTTGTGGCCAACACTGCCCCTGCCATTACCTGTTTTGGACAGGAACAGCAAGTGTGAGGATGCTCTTCCTTCTACCTCAGCCACAGCAGCAGCCCACTGGTCAAGAGAACAGGACATGCTTTTCATGGCACTCTGGGATTTGAGTCTCTTCCTCCATCACAAACATCCTGGGTTTCTCTTTCCCCTCTTTGCTAGTACTATTTCATTGCCAGCTGCCCTGAGACATCTACAGAGGGGACAGGAGAGGATCTGTGGTGACATAAATGGAGACATGGGCAGACTCTGGACCTTAAAATTTGTAGAGACTACTGTAATTGGATATTGATACAGAGTCTTTAGTTCTTACCATGCTATCATTCTGCAGCATTCACTGTCTTTTTAGTCAGTGAATGAATGCTTTTTCTTTAAAGTTATTAGAAGTAATTGAGAAAAACTTCCCAGCTACTTCTGCATATTTTTGTTGTCTCCTAAATGCCTAACCCAGTTTATGAATGCTGGGCTCTCCTCAGATGTCGCCATTGGTGTGAACAAGGTAAAAGCTTTGTTCTTCCTCAGCCCAAGCTATGCTGAGATGTCTGCCATTTGCCCTGGGAGTTGTGATGCTGCTGTGTTTGCCATGGTGTGGCACATCACCACACCTGGAGATCCAGAGGGTGTTTGAGGTGTCTGTGGAGCTCAAGAGCCCTGACTGCCATCATTTTGACTTATCATAAATCCCTTTTGCTGCTGAAGGAGGTGGAAGGGAATGGATCTGATAAACTCAGCCTCTCTCCCCTGAAAATGTTTAGCTCTGCCACATTTTCCTGGTATCATCTGGCATACAGGCACTCAGACACTTACCAGCACAGCCTGTTGGTAGGCACACAGCTAAGGAGTGAAGGAAAGGGCAATAAACAATGACTCACACTGATATAAATTGACTGTATAATGGCAGCCTGGGAAAAAAAAAAAAAAAAAAGAATGCATTGCCAGCAGGTTTTATATCAATTGCATGCAAGTCTGGATATCAGCAAGAAAATACTTGAAGGTTGCATGTGAAAAACAGTTTTTTAACTCTGTGTTCTTTTTTCTCCCATTTCAGTGGCTCCACCAGCATACAGCTATGAATATGGAATGGAGTACCCAGCTGACCTACCTCCACCTTATACTCCAACCCCACAGACTGTAATACAGTATCCCCCACCCCCTCCATACCCTGGATATTCAGGGAAATAATTAACTCGGCTTTACATGGATACTGACTGCTTCTTGAAACAGCTAGCACTGTTGGGACAATGCTATTGGCTCAGGGACAAATAAGATTGGGTTTTACATCAACACATGTGGCCAGGTGTTGAAGTAAACTGGAAAGATTGCCAAGACTCAGGATGAATAAAAATGCTGTCCATTCTGGACCATCATGTTTCATGATTAAACAACATGTGACCAAAGAAGCAGTTCCTGTAAGTTAGTGTCTGATGAGAAGTGCTCAACACCACTTCTTAGCTTCGCCTGCAGCACATGGGAGTGGGGCTTTTCCATGTAGGAATGTGCAAGTGGTGAAAGTGGTTCAACAAACTCTTTCAAAAGCACAGGAGGCTTATCCTGGGGGAAAGTGTCACCTGTTATCTCAAGATAACCACTATGCTTTTCCTTGAAATGAGGAAAATAAGCAAGAACAAGGAATATTGAAACTCTACCATTTCTACTTCCAGCTGATAATACCCAATAATCACTGTGCATATTGGTCTGATAAGCATGTTACAAGGAGAAGTGCTGTTAGAGTTTTCTGGTAATTAAAAAATGTTGGGTATTATTTTTGGCCAAGTGCAGATTTTTAAAGTGCCTCTTTTTAAGAAGTTTGTGACTAGTATATGAACTGGAATGTTAATGTAAGGAGAATTTTTGTATGTGAAATACACTAATTTATAACTGAATTGCTTTTACCTGGACTTAAAAACTCTATACATAGGAAATATGTTAAAATGCCTTTTAAATCAGCAAATGATATTTTGATTTTGGTATAAAAATATGGAATCAGCAAAACTCAGAAATGGGAGAAAAATGCAAAACAAATATTAAAACATCCTAGATTTGACTTCAGTTCAGTTGCATAAAGCCAGGGTTTTTAAATCATATTATTTACCAGTAATGAGGATATTCAGCCTTAGCAAAGAGATGAGGGTAGAGACTGTGAGCATATCATTACTTTTTAATGTATTTTGGGCATTTTATAACCGTAGGTCACCAAGTAATACTTTTTACATTTGTCATGCATGTTGTTCAAACTTACTTATTCTCTACTATATGCTGTCCATATTTTTATGATTTAAAATGTTCCATGTACATATGAAGATAACTAATTCTTCAGCAGCTACTTGACTTCAGAATAGCGTATTCCATTACCTAAAGTATCATCTTTCAGCATGAAGACTTATTTTTCTCAGGTTTATATGCAAACCACAAAGAGCAGGTCTCTTCAAGAATTTAAAACTGCTGAATGCTTTTAGTTTGAGTTGGGTATCTAAGCAGTTTGAGAATGCTACAGTTGTGGCATCAACTGCAGTTTGCTGCTGGTTCACGGAGATCAGAATGCATTTAAATTTTAAATTTTAAAATTTTCTCTTCTTTTCAAGTGTATCCATGTAGCAACAAATAAAAAAGCAGCTTTCAAAAAGGAGATACTGTATCCCAGTGAAATCAACTTCTCATAATCTCTCAAGTGATGTTTTTGGTATTCAGTCCTGATTCAGGGCAGAACTGAAGCAACATTTAACTGAGCAAGAAATTTATTCAGAGGCATTCTTGAAACAAAACCTTACTGACTGTTCTTGCTCAGATTTTGCAGTTGTATTTGTCCTTTCCAGGCTGACAAAACTTACCCCCTTGACACTCCATTTAAAAGTGCAAATGGCCTCAGTCCCTGCCAGTGTAAATTCAGAAGATCTGTGTTGTGCCATTGGCCACACTGAGTCCAGAAGCTACCAAGGCACTTGTGACCTAGTTAGAGGAAAACTGAGCTGCAACTCAGATGTTTCGCTGCTGCTGGTTCCTTGCAGTCTTCTCTGAGAAGAGAGAGTTACATTCTCATTTCAGTTTTGGTGTTCAGATGGGACAAGTCCTGAACTGGCCTATCCTTGCAATTACTTCTGCTCTGGGTACATCCTGTGACATTTCAGCTGTTACCCTGACCTCTCAAGAGATCCCAATTGAAATCCCCCCATGAAGATCAACTCTCTGTGGTGTGGTGTTTTGGCAGTCCCTACTCAAAATCATATGCTGGGGTGTTGATGTGCCTGCCAACATGGTGACCAGCATGAGGAACAGAATAAACATGGCTTTTCCTGCAGAGATCACTCTTGCTACTGTATCATTCTGTGCCTCATATCTAGTACCTCAGCACTTTCTAGTTGATCACACTGGATAATATTTTGTTGTCAAAAAGTTGTCTGTATGTCACTTTCCCATTCCCATATTTCATTTCTTTGTGCTGAACATGGAGACATACAAATCAAAGAGCAGTTTGTATTTGAATAATCCAGTCTTCTGAAAAATACAGAGAAAGAAAATTATACTATAGATCATAAATTTTCCTTTAGAGAAAGAATTTCTCACCCCATGACATTTGCTGGAACAAGTTAACAGAACAAGTTAGGAAACAAATTTCTTGACATTTCAAGAGAATTAAAAAGGAATTTCAAAGACTAAACGTCTTTGAATACAGAGTTTTCTGTTTTCCTTTGTGATCGCATATTTCCTCTGGTGATATTGCATAAAGGACATAGTGACCAAAGTACCTACAAGGTTTACATGACTTATTCCAGGGAAAATTATGGAAATAAAGTTGAGAATTTAGTAGTGATTGAGAGCTATTTGTTTGCTATTATAACAGCAGTGGGAATGTTCATTTTTGTGTGTTAGTTAATGTTCTGCAGATCTACATATACTGGGGCATACCAGAGAGTGATTAGAATCTCAAAACACGTATCTTTTCCTTGCTAAGGGCATAAAATATAAAGGTATTGCCCTTTCAACAAACAATACAAAACTAGTAGTGAGTAGCCTAAAAAATCATGATGATTGCATTGAAAATAAGTAAATCTGCAAGAAACGAAAAGCAGAGTGGAGTGTGAGAGATTTATAAAACCAAAAGAAACCAAAACAACAAAAAAGTTGCTGTGAAACAAATGGAAGCATTTGACAATAGTAAAGTTCTATTATTTGACTTTGGTTGAAAAAATTGAAGTGTTCCAGTACCTGAAATGGGCTACAAGAAGGCTGGAGTAGCACTTAAATTTACAAAAGCATGTAGGGGAAAGGGGGCAATGGTTTCAGAGGACAGAGTTAGATTAGATACTAGGGAAAAATTCCTCCCTGTGGGCATGGTCAGACACTGGCATAGGTTGCTCGTGGAAGATGTGGATGCCCCTGGAAGCGTCCAAGGCCAGGTTGGGCAGGGCTTTGAACAACCTGGGCAAGTGGGAGGTGTCTCTGTACATGGCAGCAGGATGGAACAGGATGATTTCCAAAGTCCCTTCCAACCCAAACCACTTTATGGTGCCATGATTCTTTGTGCACAAAGAACATCTCCATATTCAAAGTTCCTGCAGTTGCAGGTATAGCTGGCCTGTGGTCATTTATTCTGTTTCACATGAATAGCTTGCAGATGAGTGCATTAGTACAAAGAGTTTTTGCTTAGTCACACTGATTTTTTTCAGTCTCGTTGTACTGTAAAATAAGGGAAAAAAAGTAACTTACAGCTGAGAAAGGTCAGAGGATCCTTTCCTTCTCTCACTTGGCAGTGGATATGAGCACAAATTTGGTTGGGGAATGTAGAATTGCCCTGTGCAGTTTGTGGACTTGGACCAAATGCTGCTGGTTTTCTTGTGGTCTCAGGTTGCCCTGCCTTTCATTCACGATTTCTAGACTGCACTTGGGGAAGCAGAGAGCAAAAAGGTTTCCATATGAGGAGTATTGACTCCAGTCCTATGAGCCTTCTCCTTGGTTTCCTAGTTTAGCACATTAGTTGTCTGCCTGGCTGCAGGATTTCTGTTAGGGATTGGAAGCAGCAGGAGTTGTGGGTGCTTACAAGGGCATATGCTGGCACGTGCTTTGATGCCAGTCCTGTTTTATGGGGGGAAAAAAATCTGTGTGATGTCTTATTTATTCATGTGTGAGGTATATTTCAAGCCATGATGCATTGCACAAACTTGATTAAATCTGGCACTTCTTTAAGTTTCCCCCTCCCCCCCAGCAAGAGCTACTTCAAAACTAGTTCTCTGTCAGATAGCCTACTGTTTCTAGGATATGTACCAAGCAGCAGGAGATGCCTAGGTAAAGAGCTGATGACCCATTTGAGAGACTTTAAAAATTAGGAAATGATCAGTTGGAGCAGTTAGAAGGCCAAAGCAAAACCAGGGGAAGTTAATGTGGTAGGCTGCAATTGCCTAAATTACATATGATGATGAAAGGATCATTAATATTATCATGAGCAGTTTTTAATTAATGAAAAATGTAAAATTTTGCTTTTTTAATGTTGGTAACTTTAAAGATTCAGTTTTACTGTTCTAGTACAGTAGACTGGATTTTCAGTAGTGCCAAAATGAAAAGATTAGTTTGCTCCATAGAGCACCTGGATCGATACTAACAGTGTGTTTGATATAGCAGAAATAGTCTTTCAATTTAAAGCAAATGGTCTCAAGACCATTTGTGAAATCACAGTGATATTTTATTGGATGTAAGTGGATAGTTCTTAAAGCACTGATGGCTGTCTATTAGAATAGTAAACATTTGGCATTTCTATATTCTCTTTTATCCTGGTGTTACAAACCAGTTTAACACAGAAGACCAAAGGAAACTAAGCCTCTGTGAATAAAACTGATTGAACCCAGAAAGGTACAAAACATACGTAAAAAACATTATTAAAACCAAATGAGGTTAGATGTTGGTCCCCAAAAATTTGGTATATTTTAGTGAATAGTAAAGGAGGTGAAGAGAAAGAAAACTAAAATAGGTGTGTGCAGGTGGGGTAACAGGGAGAGAGTGACAGGAGAGGGTGACCCTCACCCTTCTGAGGGTCCCAATGACGTCTTGTTGCTTCCCTCCATCTGGTCTTCTTAGCGGTGAGGATCCCTCAATGCCAAAAAGTTCAGAATCTCGTGCATTAATATAACTTTGGGCCAGGTGGGAACACACAGGTGCCTCTGCTAGGGAGAGCAGGTTTGATACTGTCCCTTGGAACATTGTGGATCTGTTGCATCATGTTGCAGTGCTCTGGTTCAGGGTCTGGGGACCCCTTTGTGGGAACTTTTGATGGGCCATGACACCCCTCAGCTGTCCTTCAGGTCATGCAGCTTTTCCTGGGGTGAAGGGGCCCAGAGCTGAGCTGGCCTGCACAGCAGAGGATGGGTTCACTGCCTCAGACCAGAGGCTTTTCACCACACACCCAAAACCTCTCTTCCCTCCACCCTTTGGTGTGAGGTCTGTGCCAGCCTGGCAGCAGATAAGCCTGGGGCTGCAGTCTACACCCCAAAGGTGTTTTTCCTTTTTCCCCCAGCCGAGGCCTGAGTAACTTTATCTTATCTCCATCAATGTGCAGTCCAGGGCCTTAGGGCCTCTTCCCTACAGCTTTTATACAGTTTTGCTATAATAGGCAAAAGTCCTTCATGAAGATGCTTAAGCCATGAATTAAAACATTTCAGTCTCTGACACCTGGGAATTCTCCAAATGCTTTAGTAACTCTAAAAATAATTTTTTTAGACACCATAATAAATAATAAAACACAACAGGTATTTAACAGCACAGAGTAATAGCATCTAACACCCTGAGGCAGAAATTGAGCAAAAGAATTACCGGAAGTTTAATTTATTTCTTGGGCTTCCCTAAGACATCAACGTTTGGGCAAAAAACCTTGACTAAATAATGACCAGGACTTCATATCAAGTGGCTTCTATGATTACATCCAGACTAGTGGTCGTAGTTTTTATATTGCAGCAATGTGTGAGATCCAAAAAGCAGAGCCCCCTGCCCAGGCCTGACTTGTGGTAGACCGTTGTAAATCCTGCTCCCACTCTGTTGAGACATTGGTGTACACCAAGCAGAGGAATGAAATGAATGGAATGAAAATGAAAAAAATGGAATGGAATGAAAAAAAGAGATGTGATGGTCCCTCACTTTAAAAAGAGAAAGCGAAATGCAGAAAAATAAAATGGTCTAAACTATTTTTGTTCTGTATGAGCTTCATAGGACAGCTCACTGTCATTGTATGAAGAGAACAATGAGCTGGAAGTGTTGAGGAGCAGCTACACAGTTAGGAGAATAACCCAGAGAAGGA